TGACGACTGCGGCACGTCCTCTTCCTGCCTGTGTGAGAAGCCTGTCTGTGCTGAAAACTCAGACAAAGAAGGTTAAACGAGAAGTGATGAGGTTCGCACGTCCCAGTAGCATTCCAGATTCAAGATCTGCCTGCCTTTATTCTGCTGTCACTTCGTATTATTCATAACTGCTTTTTAGGGGCAGAAACTGGTAAATGACTTCATGATGGAAGAAGGCAGGGTCTGGAATTCTAAGTGAAATATCAGAGTAGCAGGGAAAACTTAGAAGCTCAGAAACTTATTTGATTTTGTGAGAATTACATAAATGATATAAAATAAACATATTATTTGTCATAAATGCATAGTTTTTGTGGGTCTTTCTTACATTTCCAAAACTGTTTTTCATTTACAATTGTGACCCTATAGAAATAAACCTTTAGAACAAATACACTGGGAACTGTAAGTGATAAATGATTTACCACATAACATACAAAAAATGTAGAAAATATGAAGAAATATCAATAGTAACAAAAAGCAAAAAAAAAAAAGTTTAAATTAATTAAAACAAATGGCTGAAGTCTTCTATTTCTCAAGTTGCTTACAAAAGTCTTCCTGGCAGATTTTCAATATATCAGTTTCACTTACATCTTTAATTCCTTGTTTCTTGTCTTTTGCAGTTTTGCAGTAGAACTGCAGTGATCGTTAAAGAACATCTTCTTTGGGGAACTTGTAAGGAACACAACTTAGATTTAAGGGCGAATCGGGAGAGGACCCCTAGTGGATTTTATATCTAGAAATATATCTCGATATATAGCAAAAGTCTCTATTTTTAAATACATGTTGTAAGTTAGGCTCCTAGGGAAATTGAATCTGAGACAGAGGTTATTATGTCAAAAGTGCTCTTGGGATCAACACTTTGTGGGAAAGAAGAAAAATTGCACTGAACAGAATGAGCTGTGATAAAGTCACAACTGAGATTCAGCCAGCTGCTTGGGGATTTCTGATGCTGGGAAAGTCATTCAGAATAATCCCCCATGAGGGTGAGGACTGGGCCTTTATACCTCTGGTATCACCCAGATACGGGATGCAGGTGGCCCACAGGAAGGGCAGTGATCTTGGGTGAAGCTGATGTCTTTAACTGAGGGCAGTGTCTCTGGGCTGAGACCGAAGAGCTGTCATGTGTCAGCATTCTTGGCATTTGTGGAAATTAGTACTGTAGTCCTGAAGGGGGAATCAAACCCAGCACAGCATTCACAAGAGAATAAAAAACTTGAACCTGAAAGATTGAGTTGGAATTAGGTGGAAATCAGTGTCATGGATAAGGACTTTTCTGTAAAGAAAAAAGCATCTATAAATGACTAGAAGGAAGAAATTGAATCCAGTTCAGCTGAACAGCAGGTAAGCAAAGACTAAAACACATTTAAGAACCATTCGTGACTGCATACTGTTTAGTTATGGTAAGGAGTTTAAATTTTACTGAGTGGGAATCTACCCAAGTGTTTAAAGCAGAAGAATAATTTAATCAGATTTCTGTTGCAGAAAGATTTCAGAGGCTGTGCCATTGGCTGTGAATGTACTGGCCTTAATGCTGAAGGCAGTGAGACTAGTAAAAAAAAAAACATATTATAGTAATCAAAAAGGGGGAGTTTGGGTATATGGTAGCAAATAGAGACATAGTTATGAATTAAATTGGGAGGAACCAAGGTGTAGTCTAGGGTGCCTAGACACTGCCCATTGCATAGAAAGGAATGCTCAGTAACCATTCAATTTCTGAATGAAAGGAGGTGAAATAAATGGGATTTTTTTCATCCATTTGAATCACGTGTTTAGAATCACGGTCCAGTGACATGGTTGAACAGCCAGCTGGCTGTCGGATCCACTCAGGGAAGGACACAGAGAAAGGGAAGATTTAAGGAAGCTCAAAATGGTAAGTTTTAGATATAATAATTTTGATATATCTGTGAACTCTCCAGCTGATTATACGCCCTGAAAACAGGACCCAGTTGGTTTATTGAGAAGAGAATGCTCAGAGCTTTCTATTTTGTAAACTTCCACCGGTCAGTCTGACATACGTTAATCAACCATAGAGCGAATGTAGCTGGAACAAAAATTCTCACAATAAAATTAGTTTAGCAATTAAACTTTATTTTTTACCATCAAGAGAGCATTAAAAATATTTAAAAATGAAATAGAAGCAAATGAGAAAAAAGGCGCTTTTGTAAAGTTCTCTCCGCTGGCATATTTAGAATTACGTTGTACCCTAGTGCCTCTCAGTCTGTCTATGGACTAAAGAGAAGGCAAATAAATACACAATCAATTACCAGCATAGGAAGTAAGGGCAGTTTTCCCTGTGTCCTGACAAGGTGTTTCACTGTTTCAGAAACGTCTACAGAAAAGGCAGAAAAAGGAAAGTTGAGAAAGTGTGAGGGACTGACACTGATTTATAGATCAGCAGCATTAAATCAAAAGACATTCTCTCTTCCATATTTATTTTCTCTAGTCCCAGCCAATGTTATATTAAGCTTTTTATTAAAGAAAATCATAATCGATTCCCCTTAGCACCTTCAAAAATCACTCAGCAGCAATTTACTAAAACAAGAAATGGCACAAAGTAGGAGGGAGCAGTTTCAAATACGTCGTGAGCATATAGACCTCATTTCGTTCATTTGCACATCTGGAAAGAAGGAGGAAAAAACAATCAGTTGGAAACCAAAAGAAAGACACTATAATCACAATATATCCCTTTCATTTCTTTATGACAAGATGTCAAGATTACGCCCAGATATCTGATTTTGCAAGCTACCTGGTAACTGTTTTGCTGACATGGTGCGGAAGTATAATACAATTTATATACAATATAATATAAAAAAAAACAAAGTCAGCCAAATGTAGCTTACAATTTCCCTTCATTAGTAAAGATTAGTAGAGTAAGACAGTGGCTGAAGAAGGAGATCGATCCCCAAATCTGAACGGCACCAATACTGAAATTACGTACATAGGTTAGTGGAGACACAGGAGGATGTGTGGTTATACTGCTCTGTGAAAGAAGAAAAGTGAGCAAAAATGTTGTCTTAGAGACCAATGGAATAAATATTTCAAGAATGATGGAGTGATAAATATGGTTAATGCTAAAGAACGTTCATTAACTTTAGCTACAAGAATATTGTTTGTGATCTCGATTTTAGCGGTTTTAATGGGTGGTAGAGAAATAAAAGTTTGATTGCAGTGACTTATAAAGTAAGTAGGCAGTAAGAAAATGGAGAAAGGAAGTCTAAATAACTTTTTTCAAGATGTTCTTCTGAAAAGAGAGATTGGGGCAATAATTTGAGAATGAGATGAGGTTGAGAGAGAGTTGATCTAATAGTCATTCAACATCCCTTCTAGTCAGTAGACTTCCAAACCAATAGGGTCACAGTGGTGTCTTTATTTTTCTACTCGGTAGGTAGTTCAAGATTTAAATAGTTTTAATGCTTTGGTAAGGAGATAAAATCATTGAGGTTGTAAAGTGTATAAACAAAAATGGTTATTTTAACTGGAAATAGTAGCTGGCAAGCTAATGTAGACGAGTAAATAAATAAACCTGTAGGCAGATTGGCCAAGGGGAAAAAAAAAATCAAAAGTGAAAGAGAAGACATAGCTACATACCCCACATTAAAAAGAGCTAACTTCTGTCCAAAGATAGTTGGCCATAAGTCTAGGATTTTTGTTTTTGTTTTTGTTTTTTTGCACTCTGTATTCTCTTTCATTAATGGATTATCTACCTTTATGCTGATTCCACACCATCTGTAATGATGTTTCTTCCATTTCTGATGTTAGTAATTTGTGTCTTCTCTTTTTCTTGGTTAGCCCAACTAGAATTTTAGAAATTTTACTGATTTTTTTTAAAAATCAGCTTTTGGTTTCATTGGTTTTTCTCTTTGGCTTTCTGTTTTCAATTTTACTGATTTCTGCTCAATTTTTTATTATTTCTCTTCTTCTGTTTGCTTTAGACTTAATTTGCTCTTCTTTCTCTGGTTTCTTAAAATAAAAGCTTAGATTTTTTGATGTGTTTCTTTTTGTGTTAAATGAAGTTAATGCTAGAAATTTCCCCTGTGGGCACTGCTTTTTTCTACACGTCACAAATTTTGATAAGTTGCGTTTTCATTTAGTTGAAAATGTATTTTAATTCCCCTTTAGTTTTCTCCTTTGATGCATTTGTTTCTAATGCACTTTTTTTTTTAAGGGTGTTGTTTAATCTCCAGTTATTTGGGAATTTTTCAGCTATCTTTTGTGATTGATTTTTATATTAATTACATTGTGGTCTGTGAAAATACCATGTATAATTTCTGTTCTTTTAGGTTGGTTAACGTGTGTTTATGGCTCAAAATGTGGATTATCTTGGTGAATTTATTGTGCAGATTTGAGAAGAATGTGTATTCTGCTGTTTATTAAATTATTCTATAAACGTCAATTATGTCAAGTTGACTGGTAGTGCTTGTCAGGTCAACTTTATCCTTGTTGTTTTTCTGCCTGCTGGATCTGTCAATTATTGATAGAAATGTGTTGAAGTCTCCAACTATAGTAGTTAATTTGTCTGTTTCTCTGTGAAGGTCTATCAGTTTTTTCCTTGTGTATTTTATACTCTATTATTAGGCACATACACACTATAAAGATTTTTATGTCTTCTTAAACACTTGACACCGTTATCATTTTGGATTGTCCCTTTTCATCTGTGATCATGTTCCTTGTTTTGATGGTCTGTGTATTTGCAGAGTTATGTTAATGTGGAGAAAATAAATTGGTAGTTGTAAAATTTATTTTAAAATATGTGTTATCAAATTTTTGTTAATTAAAGATAAAACAAATCAATCGTGATTGCAGATGCTTCACATTTAAGTCATACTTTCCAATTTATGTATCTATATTTTTTTTAAGTATAGTCAGTTTACAATGTTGTATCATTTTCTGCTGTACAGCATAATGCTTCAGTCATACATGAACATACCTATATTCATTTCCAATTTAATACTTCCAAACTGCATTCACTAATTTGACTATAAATTAACATAAGCACTTTTCAGTTTGAATTGTAGATTGAAGAGTGCTTCCAGTAAAAGCAGAAAAGGTAGAAATTTAAATGGATTCTTTTTCAAATATTAGATTTCAATTAATTATGTTTTATGTCTTTCACAAGCATTTCTCTTTCTTTATTTACTTGAAAAATTGTGATTGCCAGAAATGTAAAAAAAGGGACACTTACCTGAGTATATCAAAATATTATTTTGCGCTTTTCTATCTATGGTACACAGGAATAAAAGTTCTAGGAAATATAAACTTTGTATCATTTATTGATTGACTGGACTCACATTTACTGAATTATGTGGCCAGTTACTGTATTAGTCCCAGGATTATAAAGGCAGTGAGCCTAGTCCATCAAGATACTTGCAGTCTAGTGGGGGCAAAACACAAGCATTACAGAGCAGAGTAGAAAGACGACGGTCAAGTGAGCCTGGGCTGTGTTAAGAGGACGTGAAACATGCCTGCACAAAGGTAGGCTGCAGAAAGTATTCTGAAAATCGTTTTCCTCTGCGATATTTAAGAATTAGCCAAATGAAAGCGAGTAGAGAATATTTTGGATAAGACACAGCATGTTCAGAGATCCACTATTTTCTGCTTTCCTGTTTTGCATATGTTCTACCAGGTAACAACCGCAAAAAGCTAAAATATTCCTAGGCTCTCAGATGCTATGAAGAATTGAAAAAAAGAGGAGGTGTGACTCCTACGCTCAGGAAGCTCTTAGCAGTGAAATGTGACCAATAAAATTGAAAGTGTATACAAACGGAGTATTTGCATCACGGAAGAGGAAACAGACCGGCTGTGCGGCTGTGCGGCGGCTGCGGGGGTGCGGCAGGGGTCCGCGCATGCCAGGGAGGCCCAGCCGACGCCCGCGCTGCCACGCCCGCGGTGGGGACGGACGTGCGCCTCCGCCCCTGACGTCAACAGGGTTGGAAGTGTTCGCCACTATTTGGATGAACCTATGGCCTTTTTGCTCTTAACATATTTCTTGAGAACAGAAATAATACAAAGAAGGTGAGACGAGGAACTTTTCAGGGGAAGAGAGTGCATAAGAGCCTAGCAGAGAAAGCGAGGGTGATTTAAAGATGTTCACGGGGGGCGAGGGTAGGGCTCAGGGGTAAAGTGCATGCTCAGCACGCAGGAGTTCCTGCGCTCCTCTCCTAGTGCCTTCATTTAAAAAACAAACAAAACCAAACAAACCTAATTAGCCCCTCCCAAATAAAGATATTCTCAAGTACGGTAGAAAAGAAGACTACCCTTTCATATGTAACAGCATGCAAAATCTATCCATTTATACATTTGTGCAGGGAAATCTTAAGTTTAAGGATTATGTTGATATGGTCTGTGTCAAAATTCAATCCACGTTTTATCAGAAATAACATTAAT